TAATGTTAATGTCGAATCTAATATATTTGTTGTGCAAGGGGATTTCTACTAATATATATATATATTAGTAGAAATCCCCTTAATGTAATATCTCCAACAAAGAAAAAATATTGATAAGATTGTTTAAAATAAATTGATCTTATATCATCTACTTTCCCTAACAAGTGTACATATATAAATTCACATAAACATGCAACTGCTTTTCTCTAAATACCATGGTAACCCTAATAAATGCAACGATTACAGGGATCATTCGATTGAAGAATGGAATTGAGGAATTTTAATACCAAAAAAAATACTGTAATTAATTTTAGTCACATGATAAAGAAGGAAGATTTTAAGTGAAAAAAAACAGGAACAAATTCAAAACATTTTAGACAGTCGTACTTGGCGTTACATTTACCGCATAAATCCATTTTTACTGTGACGAGCTTAACATTCACCTTGAAGACTGAAGAAATATTATCAAATGCTCGAATACGGAAAGAGCGATGCGTTCACTAACGATCGTTATGCTGCAATCCAGTGAGCTCTCTTTCTCTCCTTTCCCTAGTTTTATTACTCACATTTTTCTCAAATGCTTCTTTTTATCAACTTTGAACACACATACACACAAGCGCGCGCACACACGCACACACACACACACACACACACACACATACACACACGCACGCACGCACGCACGCACATGCACACACATACACACACACGTACACGTAAACACATACATACATACACACATACATACACAATTGCACACACACACACACACACACACACACACACACACACACATATATATATATATACATGTATATATCACAGTTCGATATATATTTTGTGATTTAGTAACAACTATTTTCTCTCTCACTGCGATTAGTGTCTCTACTCATCGAGATATACAAACCTGCTTTAACAAGAAGAAAAATTTGCAGACATGCATCTACATGATAGGATGAGTGGAGAGATCAGTCGAGAAATAAATATTTGGATGTTTTTCTTGATACAGATAAATATAATACGAGAAAGAAGGGGAAGGTATGTATGTTTTTAATTATGAATAACCAAGAAAGGAAAATATCAAGTGAAAATTTTAAAAAATATATATTACTAGGTAAATAATAAAATATTCGCACACTTTCGCTCAGCATGTACTACAACTACAGCCCTTTCCTTCCCTAATTCACAGACTTCAAACACAACCTACCTTCCTTCCCACGACCCATTACGCCTAAAGGGAAGCAGTTCCCCTTTGCCCTTTAGGTTCATCCACTTCTTATTCCTGATTTATTCGCACTTGGCTTCCTCTTGGCTTCTCACGTTCTCTGTCTTCGTTCCCCAACCTACCATCCAGAAGGGGGAAACGGATTCTCTTTGGCTTTTAACAGATACTTTCTTACCTCTATCTCATTAGCCAATAAGAGAATTGGAATTTCCTTGTCCTTTGTTTCATACGCTCAGCCCTTTTCTTGCCCAGGCCAGGACGCCCGAGATAAAGCGTTTCCTGTCCTATTCTTTACCCTCGACGAAAAGTATTTCCCCCTTAGTTGCAACCCCCTCCCCCCTCCTACATTCCACCTACCCACGCCATCCAGCCCCCAGACCCCCACTCCCCCACTAAGGCAAGGTGGTTGTCCCCTTTGCCTCGCCTCACCTCCGCACAGAAGCTGTCTGCTCTGGGCCCACGTGCGCCTGTTCTCCGCCGTCATGACCCCGACAGGAGGGGGGTCGGAGCCCTCATACTCGTCCACCTCCCGAAGGATCTCGCGCATCTGGGACACCACCTGCTGCAGCGTCATCTTCACGCCCTCCACCACCACCTCCACCCGGTAGATCTGCGGCCGGGGGAGGGGGTTAGGTACTGCTTGGATGCATATAGAGTGAATACTTGTATACTACGTTGATCTATATATTCTTACAGTGTATGGGAAAAGAAAGATATATATGTATATACATGTATATGTATTTCTATATGTATGTGCATGTGGGGGGGGGGGGCGTGTGTGCGTGTGCGTGTGTGTGTGTGTGTGTGTGTGTGTGTGTGTGTGTGTGTGTGTGTGTGTGTGTGTGTGTGTGTGTGTGTGTGTGTGTGCGCGCGCGTGTGTGTGTGTGCGCGCGTGTGTGCGTGTGCGCGTGTACCTGTGTGTGTGTGTGTGTGTGTGTGTGTGTGTGTGTGTGTGCGCGCGTGTGCGTGTGCGTGTGCGTGAGAGTGAGCGTGTGTGTGTGCGTGTGCGTGTGAACGAGCGTGTGAGTGGGCGTGTGCATGCGTGTGCATGCGCGCGCACGTGTGTGTGTGTGTGTGTGTGTGCGTGTGAACGTGAGTGGGCGTGTTCGCGGGCGTGTGCATGCGCGTGTGCGTGTTTATGTTCATGTATGTGTACAGTGCCGGAATTAGATGTTGACAACCCAGAATTTTAAGCCAGGTGTTTTAATTACGCACAAAAACAGTGCACCGTAATTTTTGAAGGAAAATCATGGAAAGTTAAACTTTGTCTCCTCC